AGTTGAAGAGAGTAATGAAATCAAAGCAACCGCATTTTGTAGAATTTATGAGTGTATTCAAAGAAGTTTTCGTCGTTGGCCTATACCCTTTTTCCTCAAGAAAAGCCTAGAAATCAGACAAAATCATGATCATTTTCGAAAAAAGCAAAACAAATTACGAGGAAACCATTATTGCTGGCGAGCTGTAGTATGAGCGACTTCTAATTAGTTTGGAACTTGCGGGCTTAGGGGATGATAGGACCGAATTTTTTAAAAAAAAAAAAAGGTAAAAGTGAGGCCGGTTTTTAGTTAAAGAACAATGTAGACTTTTGTGTGATGAATTAAGGATAGCCTGGAAAGATCTATAAAGTTTGACAGTACGAGGAAGTATTTCTATTCTAGAGACTAATTTTGTCGTAGCACCTAGTATATTTATGGGCTGGGCTCTGTTCGCACTACGCGAAAATATTGCTTGTTTTGTCAAAAAATTCGTCAACGGGACGCCTTTTATTTAGGCTAGAGACTGATCGAGTTTATTTTTAGGATTTCCCATTGTGTATTGGTTTTTCTCTCGATCCACAGTGCACTGCCCTGGACCCAGCGAAAAACCTCAGTAAAGTGCATCGCTGAATGAACGGCGGAATTAGTCTAATTAGATTTAGATTTAGATTCCTGCTTTTGATTGTACTTTGCCTGAAGCCACACTGATTTTTGAAAATCGAGACCATGCCCCATGGCGTCATGCAATAACTAGATTTATAGACTTAATTACTGACTCAGGTGTTGTGAGCTTTGTTTTTCTACGAAATGGTCAGCTGGCTGATAAAATAGTTCAGTGACATGTTGCCTTGGAACTCGAATATTTACCCTCTAAAAAATTACCTACTGTCGACTGGTCTAACTTCTAGGTACAAGTGTTTTCAAAACATTTTTGCCGTTAGACTGTGTTGTTTGGAAAAATCTTAATACGATTTGTGAATGAAAAAAATTCTTTAATGTGAATCCAAAACCGTATCATGAATCCATCAAGTTTGTACTCCTGTCTCACATTCTTTGGGTCAAATCAATGTATCTTTAATTCGTAATCTGAGCGTTTTCCCCCTTCATTTAATGAAAATCACAGCATTTACTTGATTAAGGCTTAATAAGCAGAAAATGTCGCGTTTTCCTCATCGTATCAGGGGTCATTAATTCGAGTTCATTCAAATCAACACTCCCTCCCCTTTAAGAAAACAGCTTTGATCTTCTTCCACATCTCCAGTAAATAAAGTGGACTAAAAACATCCTCAATAGGGTTTGATCGTTTTTGTTTTATTTCCAGAGACAATGCTTTTTATAATCTCGGGAAGTATCCCCCCTACTTTTTGAAAAGTATAGCAAGTATGTATGAAAATGCAAGGTAGCTTCGCTGAATGCCACCGAGGCGGAATAAAATAGTCTATTGTTCACTATATTCGTTGTTAAAATAGGAAGTACCAGTTTGCGGCTGGGTAACGTTGGTGGACTTAGCGTGCTTCATTTAGCAAACCATTTTGCAAACTATGCAGGCTCCTCATCAAAGATATTTGAATCGAGCCGAGAACTCACGGATACAGTAAGAGAATGAGTTCTTTCATTTATTTGAAAATAAAATCGTACAGGCAGCAGCCACTAAAAGGAATTAATTAACATAACATATAAACAAGCGTATTGTTGAGTGTTCAGTGGCAAAAATGGAGCCAAAGAATTCCATGTTCGTAGAGACTCTTTTCCCGAAAGAACTCGCGAATAATAACCAGAGAAGAAGTCTCCGCCGGCATGGAATCGAAGAGTAAAAGCCAGTTTCACAAATTCATTTATACTTCTTGTAAAACACCTCAAAGCTGGTGAAAGAGTCGAATTTCAGAAAAATGTTGTTAAAGGAAAAAATATAGCTTATCGGAAATAGGGACGATTTTACATTGCTATAAGTGACCGAAAAGTTTCTGTCAGATTTCTTCCTGAATGTCTCATAGTTTTAAAGTTAATGAAAAAGGCTTGTTGTGAGTAGTTTGTACTGTCAGTAGTGCCAGCAGAGAGTAATTCAGTGTGTTCTTAATTTAATAGCCCACTTGGCCCGACGAAAAGGACGAAATTGAATCTGCAGTTTATTCCGGCCCGAATTTGTAAGAAAGGGCTTTTCTTTCTCGTTCTGGACCGCCGTGTATCTTGCCCCTATGCCTTTGCAAAGCACGTAAAAAGGGGAGTTTCTTCTCCACCCTGAATAATCGCCGAATACTAGCAGGTCTCATGATAAATTTTCAGTTGCGCAGGAATAGATAAGCGGCATATATACGTATATACTTTCAATGTTCTTTTGTTTAGGTCAAAGGTTTTTAAAAAAGCACTGCGAGTTCATCTGTGTCACCCATTCCTCGACTGCCTTGACTCTTTCATATTTCGATTTTCCAAGTCGACAATCAATGGTTTAACGTTGTTATGCTCTCCTTTGTATTTAAGGAAATTGCCCCAAGGAAAAGCAGTTAAAAATTATACCAAATGGATACAAAAGAAATTCTTACCTCAGTTGGACAAAAGTAGTCTAAGCATTCTATTCGCACTATATGGACGCCGTTTTCTCAGTTGCTGAAGCCAGACTTATGAATTAGGCGCAAATATATCCCGGCTAGTTGGTACCTGCTAATTTTTCGTCATAAACAACCAAGTTTGGTACTTCAATGAAAGCAACCTTGTGTTTTGTTTTCTTGTGCACTTTTCAAAGGAAAAAGCTGTCAAACAATGGAAGCAATTTACTGCTAATTTGAACTCCTCAATAACCCATTATTGCTCTTTAAAAGTTGATCACTTTTCTATTTTGCAAAAGGCATTTTATTGAAGCGTTACTTTTGAGTGCTTTTCCATTATTCAACCAACAAATATTTTTGAAATCCACTTTACTTTCTGGCAAGTTAAAGTGCATTTGCCAGGTGAAGAAACATTTTATTTAAACAACCACTTTGGTTTAGTACTTCTTCTTATTTACAAGATGATATCACTGACTTGATTTGAAGTTATTTTAAAACACTCGAAAAAGTCTTCCCAGCTGAACGTGAACTGTTCTGATTAAAATCATTTGCGCAGACCAAAATGTTAATAACAGTGATTTCCTTCGGTTTAGTACAGGTGATTTTCGCAATTAATCTCAGTTTTCCATGTTTAAACATCCTGCCAAGAAAACGTTCATCAAAAGCCAAAAAGACAGTTTATAAAAGAAATTTAATAACCATATGTCTAATGAATATAATCAAATTACTTAATGAATAATGCTTACTCAAGAACTCCTCCTGTCCAGCGCTTTTCATTTTTAAAGGAGCTTAATCTCTTGTTACAAATAAAATAATATAGCGATAAACAATTGCACTTACCTGTGTTAATTAAACGAACGCATTTAAAATTATTGAGTGTTCGCAAAATAGTGAAGAGAACAACATGCTTGTTTTTCTTTTCTTTTTTCTTTTCTGGTGAGGCAAAGATAAGAAAGTATTCTCTTCGCGGCCTCCGGTTACAAAGTCGGAAGAGAACGAACTAGCCTATTAGTGTCTTTGTGATAAATTTCAATGATACCAAAACTGAATCTTTGTCGCCTGTCCTTTGCCTTTGCAGTCCCCACTTCTTTGGGAATCTCCTAGCGGACCTCAGGAAGCCATAAACTTCATCTCCTTTCCAGAATAGTTTTAATAATTTAATAGTTTTTCCCCCCATAGAAATATTTTTTTTATCTATTTTATAGTGCGACTACTTAACCGGGGCCTTTACAGGTCACCTAGACAAAGTTGATGACAGGAAAATAACAATACGTTCCGAGAAAGTTAGTTGTCAAACATCATTACAACGGAACGAAATCAACCAATTACAACCTACAGACGTGACCTTTTAAACCCGCTGAAGATAGCCTACGTTTCCTGAGAGGACCGTTAGGGTGTTGGCGGAGGCAGAAAATATTAACATTAGTCATATTTTTGATTTGAGGTCCCATGTTTATTGCAAAGTGCGGCAATGGTAGCGAAGAAATTGCTGATAGATGACTAACTAACAGCTTGTGTCAAACAGATATGTCTCCTGGGTGTTATATGTAAAGTTTCAAATAGAGGAACATTGACTGGTGAAACATTTTGCTTTCTTGAAAAACGTTTGCTGTCAAGATTTTAATTTTCTACTTCGAGTAACTCATTGGCCCACAACCAACCTTCTTGGAATGTATCGTTATTTTCCCGTAATCCGATTGGTCAACTTTGTCTAGGTGGCGCCGGTTACCGTAGTCGCACTGTAAGTATTAAAAAACAGAAAGGTAACTGACCACCTACCCCTCCCGTTAGTCACAGTTTTGCCCTAAGTGAGAACAAACTGTTAATGTTGACTTAAGGGAGGGGTAGGTGGGCAGTTACCCAGAAACCTCAATTGACAAACCGTGTTTTCATAGGGCTGTGATATAGAATAATCTTAAGAGTAAAAGACAAAACAACTACTAGAGAACAATGAGTTCATGGCCATTTCTATGAAAAGGAACTGGATCAGTTACATAAGACAATATTAGAGAAACAAGTACAGCAAACTGATCCTCACGGCGAAGAGAGAAGAAAAAACGAAAAGAATAATTCTCTATAGTAACATTTATGCTAATATTTTGGTTTGAAACACAAACCTTCGTTAGGGGCTAAACCAAAACGGAGTACATACGTCTAAGAGCGTAACAATCCTAAAGTATATACTCTGTTTTGTTTTAGCCCCCTACGAGGGTTCGTGTTTCAGATTAAAACATAAGGTATAATTATAACAAAAAAATGAGATTTTATATTGTTGTTTTCTCTCTCTTTTCTCCATAACGATCCGTTTCCTGTTGTTTCTTTGATTCCCTATTTGCACATCTCACGTTATACACCTTGTTTGCCCCCAACATTTTGTGTAAGCATTGTTTTCAATTAATCTTGGGACGACTGTAACTGACCCAGAAGAAATGAAAAACAAGGTGTATTATGGAAGATGTGTAAATGGTAAATTCTTTGTTACTGAAGAACATCATCGTCGTCTTCTTTTTCTTCTTCTTCTTCTTCTTCTTCTTCTTTCGAGAAACCCCACCTCCTTCAAAAATGAAGATTCTTGTGATGGGTGATCATCGCAATCATTATTATCATCGGGAGGTTTGGAGGGAATGGGGTAAAGATCCGGTCAGGAACTCAAATTCTTTATTTGTCATGATCATACTCATCATCTCATCGTAGCATCGATCATCATGAGGAGAATTAAAATGTTGCTATTAACCTTAAATATCTTGGATTACTCGAGTACAGCTTGGTAATTTGAAATAGCTGCTAAACTTAAGTTATCTTCTTTTGGGTTGTTTATCATTCACAAGGGGAAACCAGTCAGTTCTCAGTTCCTGTAAATGGTATAAACGGGATGCTAAACTGGCAAATTCCGTTCGGGAATCACGTTTACCACCTGCATAAGTTAGCTCCATTTGCTGGAAAACGGCTACAAAAGCCTAAAACTGGTATCAAAGATGGTTTGAAGAAATAGTGGTTTTGTTTGTCGCGGCGAAGCCGCGAGGAAAAAGGGGCGATTCGCCGGCGTTTTCCCACCTTTTTTTCCTCTGGCCAAACAGCTAAGAACTGCTAACTACGCAGTCTACAGGTTGGGAACCTTCCCAACAGAAAAACAGGAAGATGTTCACTTGCTTCGTGTTAGACATTTTCCACTGGATCTTTGACCAGAATGTTTGGAAAGGTTCTGTAAATGATAAACCACCTTTGTGTTGCGTGTTTCCGATTTTATAGAATATGGTCAATTGAACACCGTCATTGCGTGTTAAGTCCTTTTTCGTTGAGTGTAACCATTGTAGTATTGTTCCTATGGGTACAGTGGTATGATTCTTTTTGTAATTGTTCCTGGTCTCCCGTTACAGAACTTTTACAATTTTGAGAGTAAGCCTCAATGTGAGGCTTGCTTTTGAAGACAAAAATTTCAGTACCATGGGGATAATAAGACACTACTATACAATCGGAAAGGCTTAGGAAGGTGGTCTTCACCTAAGCAGTTCCTGGTTTGTTTGCGGTTTGGTATATTCAGCCATGCTGGTTTTCATATCCAAGAAACTAAGCTCTTTCTTGTCTGCCGAACGCCTAATCCAATGAGAAAGAAAAATACTTCATTTTATATTTCTTCAATAGTAGTGCTTTAATGTTGAAGCTTTACCCGCTTGGGGAGTGTCTGTGACTTTACCTATTATTTGTTGACATTTGACGTTAATTAGAGACCTTTAGACTCTAAGACGAAAACGACTACCAGTACGAGATATTCTCAATAGTAAGTAGTGCTCGCGCGTGAGGCAGCGTCATTTTGGCGGGAAAAGGTGGTAGCCGTCGTCATTCTACTACGAGTTTTAGCGGGAGTGTCGTAGTGGCGGGAACAAGTTATCAAATGTTAGAATTTTTAGCATTTTGCAATCAGGAGAGGTCTTAACCTCCTTCAATAACGATAATGGTGCTGACTTTTCTGGTGAAAAAAAAACGTACAATGAAGAATTCCGGGGTGTCTATTTTTTGACAATGCGCGAAAATTATTTAAATCAAATCTCGTACTCGTAGTCGTTCTCGTCCTCAAATCTAAAGGTCTCTAATAGCTTCAGGCTATGTGTGACGTAGTAGTTAGGGAACTGGAGTTGCCCTGAAGACGTGGAAAATAAAGTACAAGAAACAACTTTTCTTAAAGCGAAATGTTGCAATTGAGCAAATGAGTAGGGTTAAAGAAGAATATTCTCAAAGAAAATTTTGCAGCTTTAAAAACACACGTATTTCCATCTTTGCCACTTGGTTTTCTGTCCATTTTTTGCATAAAAGGAAGATTGAAATTACAAACTGCTAGAAGAAAAAGACAATTTTGTGTTAGCAAATTGAAAAAGTACGTGTTGATGTATTGCGAAACTGCTCATTCGAAGGAGGAAGGAAACTATTCTGAAAGTAATTTCATTATAAAACGAACAATAATCTAAAGGCCCAGAGAACAATTAAAACAAACGAATCACCAATTAAATTTCGTTTCAGAATGTCTATGAAGTGTCCTCGGAAACATAAAGGCGACAATGTTGGATTTGTAGTTTTCCCTTGTGATAAACTTGCGCTCACTGAATTTGAATTGCTATCACGTCTCTTGAATTTGGGTAAGGAAAATGAATTACCATCCTTTTAGAGAGCTTTTGAAACTATAAGCTAAACTAAAGCCAGCTTGTTACCAAAGCCAGTTCATTTAAAAATATCATCTTCGATTTAATTTAAAGGGTCAAAGATTTTAATTTTCTCTTCAACATATTTAAGAAGTTCTAAATAATTTTGAACATACTCACGAACCTCTTTCAGCAAAATGCTTATCGCCATACTGAAGAGTACATAAGAATATCCTATAAATGGAGATATGTATACACCTTATTTACGCGATCTTTAACCGTGATGCGATTGGAAAATTTATTTTGGTCAAAGTATAAGAAATATTGACTCGCACGTAGTTTTTTGACATGAAACCTTTTTACGACCTATAGTGCAATTTAGGTGTGTTCTAGGACTGGAACTCACGCTACAGAATATCAAGTTCTCTTCTGATTTTCGCGATTATAATGTACAGGCAACGTTTTTTTCAAATAGGAAAAGTAGTCTTGTAATATTTCCTTTGGGAAAAGACAAGGTTTGTAAGCGTATTAAGTGACCAAGATTCTGCCCCTCGCCCTGAGCAATTAACATAATTATCAACGCGAATCTTTCATTCGGACACCTGCGAAAACACAAGCACTTCCATCTGCTTGCAATCTTCTGCATATATGAAAAATGTTTTCCTGTTTAATAATGATAATAACCTTTTCTGTGCGTTTTTTCCTTTGTCTATAAGTAATAAACGACAGTATGTTTAGATTGCTTTGACGCGAAATAAAAGAAATAAAATTCCCTTTAATATAAGAAATCTGTACTGTCAATTCCTAGGAGTGCTTTTCAGTTTCATTATGTAAAAGAAGTAATCAACTTTAGGGAGAAATGGTACAAGCATTGCTTTTTTGGTTCCCTGTTTTACGATACCCTTTAACCCATTACATGCTGGGATCAAAACTGCAGCACTGTTTTAGTTGTTTTAGATAAATGTGAGCAATAAAGCGCACTTTAAATGCATTTAAGTAGTTAAATCTCATTAACAGGCAATATAAAGGTTGTCTCTTAACAAAAGAGAATAATTAGGTTAAATGAATGGTTAAAGACGTCTTGCGAGTCGTCCTTTAACTGAAGCACTTTGCTGTTTAATCTATATTAAAATGTTTTTCAAATGTTTTCTCAGGACAATTTTTTTTCACACTTCATGGAACACCATAATTTTCATTTCCGCCAAGGTTTCGCCACATCCTTTGCGAAGCAAATTAAAAAAGTATAAAAAGAAGGTGTCGTATGACTCAAAATAAACTCTGTCACACATGCAAATTGTGGCCTGCCTTCAGCGATGACCGAGAGTCTTTCCCGGATAAGTCTGTTACTGTGTTTTATAGGATTTAACTCGTCATAGTTTTGAAACCCTCGTGAGTGTTATTATTTCCTGTCTTTCTAGATAATTTGTTGCTTTTGTCCAGCCAGCCTGAGTTGTACAAACTGACTTCTGCTCCCCTTTATTTCAGTAAAATTTCTTCTCATGTGCATATTGATGGAAATTTGGACACGCTATTGTAATTCCTGTATGAATCAGTATCGGCGACACCACCTTTTACAGGATATTTTTCAATAATCATTTTTTTGCGTTACTTTCGAGTTAGCTTTTGTACTATAAAGCATTAAGGGTTGATATATACCTACCGTTTTGAATTACTGCCCAAAAACAACGTTGTCATCTAAAGTGATGTTGGTTTCGTTCAGTGGATATGGATCTATCATTATAGTTAGCTCGGAACCATTATACCACAGAGAAATGTGGCTTGCCGCTTTATTTGTATCTAAAAGGTTATGTCACTATTCTTCAATATGAGGCAACGCCTCACACATTTGAGGAATTCTATTCTGTGATTAAGCAGGCGGCTTGGGCTTCAACTTAAATCTACAACTCTATCACATTTTCACCAATATGTACATGCCAATGTACAACCTTTCCCGTATTGTGTAAAACAAAGTCCTCCGCTTATTTTTGCTTTTTAATTCTAGAATCAGTGTTAAATTTTTTATCTGTTGACCAAATCCTATCGTATAATTGTTCAAATCAGGGAGACATCTTTGGACAGAATAAATACAGTTTGTAATTTTCTTAGATTTAACTACGAACACTGAAGTTAGTGAAAAGTATCGTTATGTTCTAAATATAGTAACTGACAGCTAAAAGCAGTTGAATGTGAGTGAAAAAGTAAGAGTTTTAAAGGGAACAGTTTTTTTTTTGCCACATCAAGGTGCTGTTGGGTAGTCAGCAATGGTTACACAGTGTTTTGGTTACATTTAAGCGCAGCAGTTCAGAAACCAACCCATTGCGTCGTATATAATCCGTAGAGAAAGTTTTAGCAAGTTATTAAACGAACAGGCTCGTGTAAGTGTTCGGATTTCATACGTTAGATTAAACAACTTATGAGGTAGAATCTGCTAACATAGCATTTAATTGTCAAACTAACATAGTGATGCTCAGTTGGGTCGCATATTGATTCTGCAGAGAAGGTTTTAGCAAGTTATTAAACGAACAGGCTTGTGTCTAAGGGTTCGGATTTGTTATGTTTGATTAAACAACTTATGACGTAGAATCTGCTAACGTAACTTTGAGAAAATAACATGGGAAGCACGTCTTTTCAGCACAAAAGTAGTTACATTCCAACTCTTCTGCACCCGACCTTACACTCTTTCTGTTACCTTATCTTCACCAATCTTTCTATAGGAAATGTTTTCAAGGCGTTTATATGCGTCTTGTCAAACCATTGGAGTTTTGTCACACCTTTTTCTTATCGTGTTTCCCGGGAATACAGTTTAATGCAATTTAGAGCTAACTGTAGAGTAAGGGATCAAATCTAAAAAATGCATCTTTACTCATCGCTTAGCTTCTTTGAAGTAGTCTCTTTTTATTCACCCAGAATATATTTACTATAACTTCACACATATCGATGAGTTAGACTGATCGATTTTGTTTGGTGTTATTTCTCGAGTATAGACGAGGTGCTTGAGGCGACTTTGTTCAAGTGGCTGCCTGTTTTTAGAGCTGAGCCAGGCAATTTTGTGATGCGACAAGTTTTATATCAATGAGTTATAAAAAAGAAGTTAGCGACAAAAATTAATAAACAGGAAGGTTTCTTCATGCAAAACAGTCACATAGTTTACCCTAGTTTTTATTCGCAGAATGGCGTAGGTTTACTACAACGGATTTTGTACGATAACCCCTTTGTAATATTTACCCTTTAGACCAAGGGAGTCCCCTAGGTCTGACAGTTTAATGTCTAATATGACTATTTTCCCCTTTAAATTATATTACATATGCTGTTTCCCATAATAGATGTTTTTTCTTGCCCTCTTGTTTTTTCCACGTTTTCTGGGGCTCCTCAGCTGCTTCCATGTGTACCGTGGTAATTCGCGATTAATTCTAAGAAGTTTCTCCATGCTGTTCGTTGCTTAGGTGTGGCCCTTAAACTACAAGAACTGTTAAATGAGCAAGGGAGGCTGTATTTTGTCAGCTGCAGTGATGAATAGCAATTTTGGAACAGAAAAGGACTTATCATTTGCGCAGAAATTACTCGCCCAGTAACGTAATCAATTTTGAACAATGCTTTGTAATACCTTGCCTTGGTTGATTATTGAGAGCTTTCAAGAAAAGAGAGAAAAGTCCATGTTTTGAAATACAATAAAAACTGGGTGCATAAAGCTCATGGAACTATAGCCTTTATGTTTTTTTTATCGTTGAAAAGCTGCACTTATGGGAATAACGATAGACGAGGTCATCGTATTGGCTTGCTAAGCTGTGGAAAGGGGTATAGTCAGTTGTATTGTATGGATATGCAAATTAACTAGAAATGTGTTCGTCATAACAGAAAATTATATCCACTCTCCTCGGTAAAGGCAATGTAGAATGATGTTACCGGACAGTATATATTGTCAAATGTTGGCAAAATATATCCTTTAATCGTTTTCAAAGTTTTGGTTTGAAATGTTTTTTTTTTTTTTTAAAGTTTGCACTTAGCAAATACCATGCAAATTAGGTGTACAGATTAACTGCTCACCGACGGATGTTCTCAGTACGGTCATTCTGTAGCATTTTCATTCCCCCAATGTTCTGGGATCTTATGTCTTATAAGTAGTTTACTCTATTACCTAATCCGCGCAGCTTCTTTATGAAGGATACTTTTTTGGTGAACGATCTTGTATGGTACCATTTAAAGATGCCACTCTTCAGAATCGTCTTAATTGCCACACAGTAGCATTTCCTCTACATACGAGTTTTTCTGTCACATATAGTTGTGAGAAATAACAGGACATAATGTCTTGTAGCTTTCATTATATTTGAATGGACTTAAGGAGCTCATTCAACTACCCTACATTTTGTATAACCTTGTCCAATAATGCACGGTATTATATGGGAATTTTTGCTCAACATAGTTGACTTGGATTGGATGATCACGCTTGGAGACTTTCACCTCCTCGAAATTAGGAACTAGCTTATGCAGATCAGAGGGTTTATTTTGAATGCTGTTGATTAAGGATTTTGAACAAAGACTCACCAAAAAGAAGCAATGCAATTTACTGTCATAAACGGAGTAATCTAAATGTACTGCTCGCCAGCTTTCTTTTGAACTAATTGACGTTATTCAGGGTCAATTATTTACTCAGAGTGAGGAAGAGTCCTATTTTAACACCAGAGAGGAAAATGTGAATGAAATAGTTGTTGGGTTCAAAAGGGATTGCTCTCCTTATAAATTAATTATAAAGTCTGTCAGTTCAAAGGTTAATTCCCGACGATTTTTCACACATTGCTACAACAACTCGTCGGTGACACTGAAAAATAATTCGTAAGCTAGGACCACACATTTTGCATTAAAACCTTTACTTGCTTTAAGTGAATGATTTCCTTTTGTTTCGTATTATAATTAAATTTCTACCATGTTCAGAGAATTTATGAGTTACACATCAACGTTGCTTATGGGTATATGTTAATATTTTTTACGTTGGAAAATTTAAAACTTTTCAGCTTTGGTTGAACTCTTTAAAAACTGAGAACTGAAATCGTTTCTTTCCTTCTTTTTAACTTGTAAATACCTCCTGTCAGCAAATTTCGGTTCCCTGCTGTGTAAATATCCACCATCACTATTTTAAGGGCAATGATTGGTTCTTTATAATTACCGTCGATAAAGAACTTTCGTAAGTTTGTTTGAACTTTGTCTTTTTATAGTGTTTCCCCTCTTTTTGGTCTACAAGAACGCCTTCCGCTTTTAACCTAAATGAGAGCTTTTTTGCGTCAATATGCTGGTACATTTCGTCAAAGAAAATGCATTGAACTTTCTTATTACAGTTACGCAGAGAGGTTAATGTAGTTAATTGTGTTCTTATTAGCAAATTGATGAATAACAGGGTTTTCTGCGATTGTATCGGTCGCCATAACATTACAGAGGGAAGCCCTAGAGTGAAATGTCACGTCTTGCAGAATGTCTGCGAGACCTGTTTCATTGAAATTTCCCACAAGAGAGTTTTCGACCTGAAAGAAGTTGAAAACCTCTTTAAAAACCGCTTTAACCGCAGCAGGATTAGCTCACTCGATAGAGCGATTGACTGCAGAGCGGGAGGTCGCGGGTTCGATTCTCGGGACTTGACCAATACTCAGGGTTTCAAAATGACTGAGAAATGAAGGTACTGCCTTTGCCCTGAAAATGGCTAGACCTTCGCGTGGCTCGGATGACCATGTAAAATGGCGGTCCCGTCTTCAGTAGGAGACGTAAATAGTTTCCCCAATGAGTGCTTTCGTGCTAAATACATTGACACTCAAATAAAGTGCTTTTTATTATGGTTTCTCAACCGAACAAGACTGCAAGATGGTTTTAAACAGAGATTTCATGCAATTGTTATTCATTCTCTTTCCCCGTTTTCTAAAATCGCAATTTGAAAGAGAATCTTCTCAACCACATTTACTTCAAACTTACGTCCCAGCTACAAAAATATGAAATTGAGTTTGAGAAACGACGAAGAGTTATTGTACCTTGGTCACCATAAGATTACACAATGGCGGGGTAAATATTTGTAATTGTTTTCTGCAAATTACAATTGCAATTGAAAAACTGTTATAAGAGGGCTGCAAAATCCTTAATTCCTAAGTTACATATAAAAGGGAAAATAGTACAACCGAACGTTCAAACGGACCATGATAATTAACGCCCGAAATTGTGCTGGTCCGTTTTGTCAACAGTAAGGCCAATTAAGACAAATGAAAGAAAAGTTGTTTGAACAACGATTAATTAAAACTCAAAAGTACTTTAAGCTAGGAGAAAACATTAAAGACGGCCCCTTTACTTTGTACAGCAAAGATCTGCATGGCATAATTTCTTTTGCATCTTTTATTTTGTATCTTTTGTACGTGGTTAGCATAGTTCTTTTCCTTTTTCTTTATGTTCACTTGGATGTTACTTGTTATTAAATATTGAACTGTTTGAATAGCTTTTGACTTTGACAAATTGTTCTGATGGTGCTGTCTGTTTAAGGGGAATTATTTTAATGCAGTTAAATTTTCTGTCCTTCTTCGTTGTATGTTTTTGACCTTTCTTTTTATTTTGAATATAATAATAATAACAATAATAATATTGTGGCCAAACTCAGTGGTTTGAGATATGTTAACCACGACAATTTTTTTTTTAATTTAGTCTACAAATCAACAATTACAACTCAAAACCCTTAAGAAGAACACAAGCACACATAAACACTTAGATCAGCAGATACAATCTTTAAAAATAGCAAATCTGGCGCAGCAGCCTCAGCAGTTGAAGTTTAAATTCCTTGGTCTATGTTTATTCACGGTTGTTCAGTGGTTCTTTCAGAACTTACATGCAAGATACTGTCTCACTAATGAAAAGCTTTAACGCCATTTAACTTCCTTTAAGGTGCGAAACTAAATGATGTTTACTATACTTTGAAACAATGACTATTTTACCATAACTATTTTTTACTCGTATAGTGGTATCACTACAATGAAAGCTTCTGAGCGTTTCTTACCTGTGGCACATGCATTTAACCTCGATTAAACTACTCCCTTCAAGTAATTTTTTTCAGATTTAAGGAGATTAACAATGGAAATGGCCAATAAAGTTAAACGAAGTGGATTAGAAAAAGTATCTTAGAAGCCATATCGTCTTTGTAAAACATCGGTCGTTGTTCTGCCCTTTAGTTTATGCTACTCGTCATCTACAGTAGAATACTGGGTCTTCAGAGCGGCACTTAATTTACAGACTTACGTTTATTTCCCTCCCCAAGTCAAACCGGCTCTTAATTTACAGACTTACGGTTATTTCTCTTCCCTTCCATTGTCGAACAATATAATTTCATTCTTGATTTGTCAAACATTGAATTTTGGGAGCCAGTTCTATTTTTCTAGAAGGATCGCAATAATGCCTTCTATCATTCCATTTAAAGGAATCTACGCCATCTATTATTCCATAGTATTTTAGCTAACAATTTGTAACATATTGTATGGATTTTTTTTCTTAATGATTCATTTTCTGTAGGTTTAAAGGAACATAAATAAAGTTTCTATCTAGTTTCTATCTATCCATCGAAAGACCAGTGTAAAAATATATGTGAAAGCCAATGAGCTTGTAGTACCGTAATTTATGTCGCTTGAAATGAGTTGTATTTTTTGAACCCTTGGATAATTCATCTAAAAATCTTCCGTGATGTTTTTTTTAGTTCTCTCCTTTCAGTTATGCTAATTATGGCGATTTAAATTATATTCTTAAAAGCGTGGATAGGTTTTTCAAAGTAAACGGTGTTTTAATCAAGGTTCGAAAAGGATTTTATTCGTAAAATAATGTCCCGAGAATTCAGCTTACTACTTGACTGTTAAGGAAAACGTTTCATCAAAAAGATGTAAAATTTGTAACTGGTTTCATTTTCTTGAACCACTAACATGTACAAAGGCGATCGTAGATGGAGGGTTGTATCGTTTGCTCTGTTAAAAATGGGCACAATTTTCGTATACGTAATTCCAGTCGTTTACGTGCGTCTAATGCACCGCTTTCAAGGTATCTATTTTGCTTAAAAGTTAATTCATTACTTAACTTATTTTAGATTTTTGCCTAATTCACAAGTAACGGAAGTCTACAACACAAAATTTCATAGGTACATGAATAGTGATGACATTCATTTCATGAGAGGGTCATATACAATAAAGCCTCAAATCTATCTTCTTATAATCACTCACAGTACGATTAGAAGGTTTGATGCTTTTAGTAATAGGATCAATTTTGCTACCTCTAGACCTAGGTGTAGTTGCTATGTATGTGTCTTGCGTGGTATTATAACGGATTATTCCATACGAAACACTTAAATGAACGTTTTAGGTTTTTGGGCATACCCTTTTTCACTCTGCGACATTTAACACCACTGCTGTGGCGAGATGGTCTTTTGTCATCAATTCTGGAAAAAGCCATTCAAACTGGGAAAAACCTGTACACCGTTTTTTGCAGCTTAAGCTTGTGCAAGGAAATGTGCTTTTAGATCTTTAAGGACTGCTTTGTAACCCTTAATTTCTACAATGATAAAAGAACGTTCCATTGTCATCAAATTTAACTAGTCGATTCTAGAAGCGAATGAAGATTCTTTGTGTGTATGTTTGGGACAACTATTCCTCACTGATTCTTTTGAGAATTCTATATATTTAGGCTCATGAAATCCTTGAATCCCTAGATTTAAATTATAAGACAATTTCAGGATCGTAGAAAGATACGCATATTTGAATTAAATATTTTCGAAGGAATTTTAATAGACTTTTCCTCTCGTGTTCTGTGGAGGAGACTTCATTTCTACTAATTCAAAGGGGATAGACTACAGACTAATTTTGTTGTTGCTCGTGGAAATATTTGAACGTCGTAACTGTTCATCAGGACCCCTAAAATGTGTGAAATTCCACACATGATTTCTGTTCATTAAATCCTACACCAACTCTGGCGGAACATTTTAGGTGTAGTAACCCACAGCACAGTTACCTGAGAAGACTCATTAGAGGAAAAAGATAGGTAGACCTTTTTTCCAGCGTGTTTTAGAGAGAGCTAAAGTAAGTGAGACTTAAGAAATGATTAAAATAAAAAAAACGGTATTGGGTGAAGATCTCAGGAGTGCAAAATCCTTCTCCAGAGCACCTTACTCGAGAATGAAATGGTTAAGAGTCTTTGAATAAAGGCGTCAGAGCAGATTTTAGGTCGCTGTTAGATTCTTGATAGCAGAAATTTGTATTGCCAAATAAGAACCATTTGAAAATATGGTATTGTGATAAGACTTCCGCAGTATTCTATCGTGCATAGTACTTTTTATTCTGTATGAGAATAGTACAAGGAAACATTTTTCAATTGTTAAACAATTCCCCAGACAACATAACAAGTAATTATTAGGTTTTGCCTCCAGCGATCCTACCTTTCATAAGGCTTATTGAGTCTATAATGGGCCACGATGCATTTAATGCCTCTCATCGATAAACTTTGTAACCTTATAGGGGAATAAAATTACATAAATTGGATAAAACTTCAATTAAACAACACCAATGAAAGGCAAAAAGGGGTCTGGCAGCTTGGTCTCCTCTTGCCTCGACACAACAGGAAAATGTAAAGACAAAAGAATTATCGATTAGGAGTTTCTTTTTATTTTGTTCTTTTTCCTCTTTCTGCTCTTATTGAAGTTCTATTTTCTGTCTTGTTTCAATCAACCATAAGGTGACAAAAGTTGTGAACAAAAGGCCACAAATTTACAAGGGCACGTCGAAAACACAAGTAGCTTTTACTGAGTTGATGGTACTCCGAAAATCTGATAGGACTCAAGTTTCCTCACGAAAGTTTATTAGCCATCAAACATACCAAAAACGGCGTAAAACGGACCTTATCAATCGTAAAACAACAACGTTCGTTTTATTTTTTTTAAGACTAAGACATTGAGAGAGACCTATTTTACTTGCATGGACTTTAAAAACGGGGAGCTGTATACAGTGTACCTTTGAAATCAAGGGATTTAACGTAACCGCTATCAAGCGAGAGGGTAAAGTAATTGTTTTTAGCGTAGAAAATGTTGCTTGAAACGTTACACCTACCATTTGTTTTTATCCGTGATGAAGTTTCTAAATCTAATTTGTCTACTTCATTTTTATATAAGTAAATGAGAAATTCCCTTTTTAGCACTCTCTTTAAAACAATTAACAAGGATTCTGTAACTTTCTTTTCGCAATTATAACTGGCCCCTTTACAGGTAATTATCATTTCGAATAATTACTCGGTATTCCGTATTAGCAAAGCAGGTTGTTTGCACCATTTTGGAAATATGATGTCACCTCTTGGGGACTGAGCCACAAAATGAAATATTTTTAATGATACTTTTGACTCTGTTACGTTTATTACACTGTGGCGTATTTACGACCATAACAAACTCATCTTGCGCACGGCCGTACACTAAGACCATAACTCTCTCACTTATCGAGAGCAATCTTGCCACTGTTAGCAACTCCTGTGCTTTGCCACAGCGGGGGGGAAAGCAACATCCCTCGTTTCTTAATCAACATGAGTTCTACAAATATATTGAGTTTTGCACCCCGAATATTGTAATAATTTGATATGATACATCAATGGGGTTGCTGCGGGAACCCATTCAACAGCTACTAGCCATTGTTTGATTTGTTGACAGAAACAGCAGATGTAGAAATCTCAGTAGACGGCAAATGGCACTTTGTTTTTCTTGGACCTGCCATTGTGCACGGCAGTTTTGAAGCATTAATTCAACGATTTTTGAGTAAATACAGCTGCTTAAAAATTCTAACCAACTTTTCTTGACAAAAATAACATTTAAGCTGCGGACAAGTTTCAGACGCACTGAGCGATGTATTTCTTAAATATTTTAAGGCTTTAACCGCTTTAAATAGCTTTTTCAGTGTCGTACTTGATTGTCACTTTTAATTGGTTAATTTATTTTAATCGGTTATACCGCCCAGCACTTGTTTTTGTATGATAGTAAGCTCAAGTGAAGAATGTGCTTGTAATTGCTGAGCATTTTTTCTCATTCTCTTTGCAAAGTTGCAATAGGCGCTAAAGATAATATCCTCATGTTCAACGAAGTGGGTCATAATTGCACCTAGAACGTGACAACTGCTTTCAAACTAAAGAATTCCGCGTCAAATTAAACACCGTATTAGGTGAATGTAATAATGGACGCATGATAATTCTTTGATTCACTTCTCGCCCATGAATTAAAAAGTATACATTTATTGAAAAGTCGTTATCTGTTGATAAAATACCTATTCTTAGTAACCGCTTATTGACTATCGATGTTTCAAACTGGAAACAATAGAACAGTCCGTCTATTGGGCATGATTGCCTTCAAGTTGTGAAAAATGGAAATACATAAATGATCATTCATTTCGAGATTTGAAAATTAGACCAGGCTCTCGTTCTGCACTCATATGAAAAAATCTAGAAGGTCGGCAAGTTGGTTTCAATATCGAGCCACAATTGAGCGCTTAAAACACTGTTTGTTCAGGCTACAGATACTCCAAATGAAATAGGCCATCCTAGATGCTTAAGCAAACAAGTTTGTCTGAATCTATTTCACGCTAATGACAAACTAATTGAGGTACTGGGTCACTTGATGCTACTCTGACATGTCTACTAAAAGGTGTTTTGTTCGACTTATGGCTCGGACAATATCATTTTAAAAGCGGAATGTTAGTCAACAAAGCCCCCGACCACTAGTGAAGCGGAACTTGGTAACTCAGTCACGAGTTACCAAACGGGTGTATTTAAGGAGGGTGTGCAAGGTGGTAGCGATTCATTCTTGGATCACAGTCATAAAAGACACAAGAAGCATCTATATCACTCCAACATGATCCCTGTGTGTACATATCTTCTGAAAACAGGAGAAATTGAACGCTCTAATGTGCTTCCTTGTCCCTTCTCCTCAGACCAAATCGCTTCAGTGTGCCAATTTCTCCAGAATAACGGAGAAATCGAACGCCTTTCTCGATTTCTGTGGTCTTTACCCACGGAAATAGACTGCGACGCCAAGACTACCGAGACAATACTTGTTTCAAAGGCGGTGGTCTATTTCTACCAGAACAACTTCAAGGATCTTTACGCCATGCTGGAGAATCACAAGTTTTCTAAAGAAAACCACGAGCGACTGCAGTGCTTATGGAGGACTGCGCATTACCTCGAAGCCGAGCGACAGCGTGGTAGACCCTTGGGAGCAGTGGGGAAGTATCGCGTTAGAAGAAAGTTTCCTCTTCCGCGTACTATATGGGACGGCGAAGAGACTACCTACTGCTTCAAGGAGAAATCGAGGAATATTTTAAACAAGGCGTACGCTGAGAACCCTTACCCTACCCCACGAGAGAAGTATGATCTAGCGAAGATGACCGATCTGACTGTGACGCAAGTAAGCAATTGGTTCAAGAACAAGAGACAGCGTGTTCGAGCTGCTGAGATGAGGAAGGGGTAAGTGAGAGAAACATACCTTTATCTTCTATTTTCATTCAAATCCACCCTCGTGTAAAAGTTATGGAGCAGCGTTCCCCATTGTTTTAACCACTATATGGTTTTGTAGTGATAGGAGTCTAACTAAAAGTTAACTTGGAGATGAACGTTCCATTCAATAGCAAGTGATATTTCTCTTAAATTCGCCTAAATTTTCCTTTCCCTGTAGTAACTCGCCCTGGCCAATTTAACTTCTGCTTCACACACATAAGTCTTATACTTTCTTTCTCCTTGTATTATATTTGCATTAAAGACAAAGTGTTTTGATACATTTTTTGGATTTTTAGCCGTTATGTGCCCTTTTTTATGCTTCCGGGACGTTTACCCTTATCGTTCCAGGAAATTCATTTTACACTCTGTAGTATTCACGGTAGTTATATGAGTAGCCGAATCGTGTAGCTGGCCTTTTGCTTAGATTATAATCCTTATTATGTACTCCATGAATAATATCGTAGGGATAGGACCATACAAACAAATACTCTTTGCAGCACTTGTTTATCACGATTTCTGAGAAATTTTCTTGAATTTTGACTGACTATCGGCAAGGGAAGAAACTTAAATAGTTGCCTTCCTTGGTCAAAACTCCACTAATACAATGTCATTTAGACTCGGGTTCCAAGTATTGGTATTCCCTTTTTTTATCATAATCAGAGGAGAATTTGATCAGTGGTCCTTAACTTAATTCAGTTGTTACCCAAATCGACTCCAAGTAAGTTCCAACTTTATTATTTCTGAAAAACGGAAAACAAATCGTTTCCTGTGTAACAAGTGTTGGAGAGTCAGAAACAAAACATGATTAGGAACAGTGTAGCGCTCATAAGTTGATTACAATTAAAATTTGTCTTTGTGTTCTTAGCGCTAAAATGTTTGAAAATCCAGACGTTTCGGGACTACTGTCCCTTCATCAGTGTTGGAGAGGCCGTTTAAATTCGAAAGGCATGATCACAGGGTTTCTTCTACAAACTTTGAAGTCAGATGATGATGTTTCCCTAATTGCCTCTGCAAAGAAAATTTTCAAGGTTGTTTGAAAAATATGTTAGTATTTATTCACTTTATTTTCCAATTACTTGGCTCCTTGAGGAATTTTCTTTTATCATACAGATTCTCTCTCTTTTTTTATGTTTTTTTAACGCTGTTTCAGCTGATTAGCTGCTAATGGGAAACGATTATCACCTGCACAAGGACTGAGACACCAGTCGCTTTTTTTATGTTCATGCTTGTTTGCTCGATCGTGATCAAAGGCTTTTAAACTAAGAGAGCTTAGCAGGGGAAGTTATAAAAAATTCAAGTCTTGGAGACTCCCCCGCGTGTTGTTTAGTTTTATTCGCGTTTTTTTTTTCTTTTACCCAATCGCCATGAGTTGGAGAGCAGGAACTAAGATCGCGGTAAATGAGCTGTTAACGACTTTTTAATATATTTATAAAAGATTACCAGTAGGAAGGAGCCTTTTGCTACAAACTCTTTTCAAGTAGCATGTTAACAGCCCATTGCCGAGAATAAAAGATTCACAGCAACGAAAATGTAACTAATTGTCTTCGTTCTACGCACGTGGAGAATCGAAACCGACTCTGTGGTTTAACGTAAAGAGCTCTTTTTAAATTTATTGTAGGTCTCATTTTGTGTCAAATGTTTAATGAAGATGTCATCTTGAATTTAAAAAGTGAAATTCATTTTACTGCGTCGTTAATCACACCACAGTTAAGAGCTACTCTCACTTAAATGAACAAACTCGAAGTTAAAAAGCACATTTAAAATACGTCACAATTATTTCTCTTCACAGTTTTACCAAACTTTAGTAGATATTAGCCACTTCTTATTTCCTGTGGTTAGGGATCATGTTTCATATTGATGTATGCTTCTGCTCGACAAACTTAATGGTATTTGTGTGCGGGCAGAAGTCGTATCTCTGAATCAACAACTTTGATACTCATCCTTCAATCACTTATCTTGCCCAAATGGAAAAAAGGTTTTAGCGTTGTTTGTTTTTCATTTTAAGACCTTCCTTTTATTTGAGCACCTGCGAGGTGAAAAACCAACCGAAAATATTAGCTAATGGGCCGAGGGATATTCCAAAATAAAATATCAATAGCACGATACGCGACACCGTTCGATGTCAATCATGAGGTGACAGATATGTCCAAAATCATACATGCGCACTTGAAGTATCTCCTTTGATTTTAGTTTTGTTGAATGGTTGGTCGCCTTTTTAATTTTTCCCTGTTTTTGTAGTGAGCATCCGTTTTCGCTTTTTTGCGTAAAAAAGAAACATTTTGTGGGACACAGAATTAATCGTTGGTTTTAAATGTAAATCACTTTCGGTATTGATTGATCCCTTTGTTGCTGAAAAATATTCAAAATGTCATTTAAACCTGCATTGCCTCTTGAAAACGACTGGTGGATAGTTCTGTATAAACGGACAAGCCACAGCAAAGAAAAAAGCAGTTTGTTTCTTGAAATTCGTAAGACAAATTTGACATGAATATCATAGCATTGTTTAATAAACATGAGATGAAAATAAACGTAGAGTGCGTAATTTTCATATGAAAGAAAAAGAGACGTGAAACCAAGGGTATATACAAGGAGCAGTAGAATCTTTTTTCGTAGGTTTTATACCCAACAGCAAGGGAACAGAAAAGGTAGTTGTGTTTATTCAAACATTTTCACATAATGAGCACGTTTTAAACGGCAAAAAATGTTCTTACCTTATTTCCTTGCACCAATTTCTGTGGACTGAAACAGTCCCTTGCCTAAACAACTCATAAAAAGGTAGGCGACACCATCGGGGTCTATGACGTTTATTAAAGAATAGCATGAGATTTTTAGCTTCCCCTTGTACGTGATGAGGCTCATTGGCTTGACGAACCATATTCAAAAGTTGTTTCTTTAACAGTTGCATTTACCATTGTATGTATATTTAAGAAAACGCTAAGATAGGTGTCACAGTCACAAATAACTTATTGTTGGAAGCAACAGACACCGTAGATTTTAACCAGGAGATGATTTCGCGTAATGTTGGGTAACCTCCGCAACTTTTGCAGCCGTCGTTTTTGCACTTTACAGCGCTAGCTATTATAATATTACTTCTTAGTTATGGGGTGTCCCTGTAAGAGCTCTTCTTATTCTCTTTCATGTCTGTATACCCCTGAGCCAGGAAGTCAAATAGCATGTAATTATAGCAATTACTTTTAACCAATTTCCAGTAGGTAAGAGGAGTGATGGCGTCACAAAAACTAAATTTTTGAAATTATGTGATTGGTTGGTATATCCAGAAAGAACAAGATAAAAATTGTTTACTTGCCAAATATGAGACTGTTTCGGCAAATTGGGTGGGAGATATAAGCATTATTGTGCTCCGATGACTCCATATAATGTAAAATGTGTCTGGATAGTAAACGTTAGGATCCATGCAAGTTAATCATGTGTATGTCAAATGTACTTTTGTAGTGGCCTGGATCCAGATGGCATGATGAAAATGAAAGGTCCCGGACGATCTATGATGTTCAGTTATGACGAGCTGCGTTCTCATTTTCCCTACCTCATTCCTCAACCTCCCATCCTATCAGCGCCGCAAGCTGCCTCACTGCCAGCAAGATACCTTATGGACATACATCCACGAGCGCATTCTCAAAATCACCCTTATGTCCCGCTTCAGACGTACCCTGCATACGTCTCGGCAAGTCCACATCCGCTTGCAAGCACATGTACGAGTACGCATGCGCCAGACAGACCGGCTTTGGAGCTGTGTTCCGAAACGAGTGCGTTTGAACCTATCTATACGAGTAGACTTGGATAGGAAAAATTCGAAGTAAAATTGTGAATCTGTAGGTAGTGAAAGAAGTAACCCTTAAAATGAAGCCTGTCAGTTATGGAGATAAGAAGTCTCATTAGAATAGTTGCATTTTCGGTTTTTAGGGGCTTGGCTTTAGTACGGAAACGGTTAATTTTTTCCTTGATTACCTTTAAAAACATACAGTTATATATATTTAACCCTTAAAAGCCCTAAGAGTGACAGTATCAACATCAATTTTCTCCTAACAATACAAATACATAGTTAAGATAAGAAGTAATAAGCATTAATATAGCAATCACCCAAGGGAAAATACTTCGATCTTTCAGTTATCAAATCTTCTCTTCGGTCTGGAGAATTTGTATAAGGATATTGGGACTTAAGACTTTAAAAGTCTTCATTGCCTCCAAGGACCTTTCTGGCGAGATTTGAAAAAGGCTGAAATGAGGTCCATCAGTTCATCATTAGAGACCTTTAGATTCCAGGACGAGGACGTCTACGAGGACGATATTTGACTTAAGCTTCGGTGTACTTTCCCTCTAACCAGAGTTAGTAGTGTCATTTTTATTGAAGGAGGTTACACCCTCTCCCGATCGCAAAATGATAAAACTTCTAACATTTGAGAAATTGTTTCCGCCAACACGACATTCTACCTAAAACTCGTAGTAAAATGACGACGGCTATCACGTTTTCCTGCTAGAATGACGCTGGTTCACGCGCACGCACTACTTAGTATTGAGAAAATCTCGTCGCCGTATTCCTCCTCGTCTTAGAATCTTAAGGTCTCTATTGAGACTCAGATAGTGTATCTTGCATAATTATTCTCAGAAAAGATGCGTTAAGTGTTCGTCAATCTTAAAAATAATCGGGACCCTCGTATGGAGGTGCGATAACCCCCTTAAATTAATCTAATGTTATTTAGGAATTATACACAGGAAGCAAAATGGGTGTATAACATAATAAAATTCATGAAAATGGCGCAAAAAATGTTAAATGGAAAGTAAAAATGTAGAAAACAAGGCTAATGTAAATGTATATAATCATTGCTTAGAACTGCCACCGAAATTTTTTTTACCTTTGTTTTAAATTCATTAGCATACATATTCATACCCCAAAACAATGGACAAAATAAAATTAACTAAAATAAAAAATTAAAAACAACTGTTTTGGTATCATTGCTTTAAGGTTGGGAGAAATGGTTTTATACCAATAAAAGTTAAATTTCCAAATCGTTTCAAACCCAAGAAGTCAGATGATTTAACGGTATAGTATCAATTTATAACGCGCTTTAATTTGTAAAGTAAATAAAAACAACTGTTTTGGTATCATCCAGGTTAAGGTTGCAGACCAAAGAGATTGGTTTTCTTGGAGCCATTTAAATAATTTAGGCCAAAAAATTTCAAAAATTCGCCCACGGTAGGGCCCATTTCAGCCCCCAAATCAGCCTTGAGCAGATGATGATTTAACAAATTAGACCCAAAAATAGGACTGTATTTTACTCACCGAAACGGCCCTGTTTTTAGGGCTAAAACAGATCTTTCTGATTTAGAGTGTATGTATGTATGTATATTCTACTGTTATTCTGTACGGTTTATCATCCGTACAGCCATTCGCATTAACCAGTTCATATAAACGAGATGTAAGGAGAATTTAAAGCCCATTTCTCAGAAGCCTGTGTTAAAACAGTTTAATCAAGATGGTAAAATTCTTTCAATAAAGTGGTCATAAAATTTGATAAAGTATGCATTTAGTGGGGCTGTAAAAAGGGAAAAAGTGCTATTTCTCACACTCCCTTTTAATTTAAACAAAAGGACATCGAGCGAAATTAAGCTCATAGAAGAGGTAATTCTAATAGCCTTTTGAAAATGAGGATGGTAAGTTATTTCTCAAGGGACTTTCTCAAAGGCCGATAGGGTAGTAACCGTACGTAGTAATTATCGCTCGTAGCCGATTTATCCCGATCAACGTTCGTCTCAGTACCCCCTCCCCCCGAAATTATCTTGTTTCGTTGCTCCAAAGTTGTTACAAATGTCGATTGTTGTGAATATAGCGACTGCAGATCACCCGTAAATATTGGTAACTTGTCTCCGAGAAAAGTAACTCCCAGTTATCGTTTGATAACCAGAAAAAAAGGTTTTGAGCACTGGATCTTCCGCATTATCTTCTGTTGTGCTTGACTCTCTTTTCGCATCGGTAGGACGTGAAAATGTATAAACCTCAACAATGACAGGTTTTAAAAGGTTTGATCGCGATGGGGGCGCGTGTTCACAAAGCGCCACGTGGATAAGAGCCTTTCATATGCAAATTCTAACAAACAATAAATTTGAATGTAGATTTTCTTCAACATGTGTGATCTCGCATAAACGAGAAGTCTACGATCGTTGTCTTGATAAGAAAATTACTTGGAAAAAAAAACTTGTTGGTGACATTACAGCATTGCTATTGAGACTGAGTGAACATGAACTGCCATTTGACAGTGATTTTCGTTTTATGTTTTCTTCCGATACCAGCAAATGGCCGCCATTTGCAATTTTGGCTCAGCGGCTTTGAATGTTTTTACGATGACCTGATTGAAAATACGGAGTGTTCTTTGGAATACGCGCCAATTACTGGAGCTGATCCGCGGGTTGATGTCTACATCGAAGACCCGGAAGGCACCATTATCTACAGGGAAGAGAAGAAAGACTACGATCTACACAAATTCACTACCACAAAGAATGGAACCTACACCATTTGCTTCAGTAATGTATTTGAATTCTCCATCGGCGAAAACCTTGTTTACTTCGATTTTGTGAAAGGCGACGAGGATGCCTTGGGCTACGAAGGGATAACTGGGACCCAAACAGCTTTGACGCACTTTGAGAAGTCGTGTTTTAATATCCACGAGAACTTTAATTTGGTTGAGAAATACCAGAATTATTATAGACTAAGAGAATCTAATGGCCGTTTGGCCGCAGAATATCTCTTACAGCGGGTTCAGTGGTGGTCTATAGGACAGTCTGTCGTCATCGTTTCTTTGGGAATTATTCAAGTCTTTATTTTGCGGAGATTTTTCACTGTTCCGAGAGAGGAACTGTAAGTGACATACTGCTCGGACATTTTCACTGTTTTAAAAAAGGAACTGTAAGCGTTACTGTTACAGAATAATGGAGGATTATTATAAACAATTTTACCTCCATTTGAAAAAGATTTGTCCTTGGGTTTTACATAAATGTGAGAGAGACGATCTTATACGGCTGAAAAAAAGTTTTGATTTAAATTAATTTATTCAGAGTTATTTATTACAATTTTCCCGACTGAAAGTGGGAATCAGTTATTTATAATTAACTTCAAATAGAAGAAAGCTTAAAAGTACGTTTTGTGAAAAAGCAACACGGTAAATTTGCATGATATGATATCGATTACTACTATAGTAAGAATTCGATAAAATGGCGAACGTGCTGAGAAGATCAGAAACATTCTTGTGAAGAGCTGAAACCATAAATTATACTAGGAAGGGGTTAGTACACAATATATTTAAGCAGGAATAAGTCAATTTTCGCAAGTATTATTAGGTTACGTTGTATTTCATTGATGAGGCGCAGTTAGAAATGATGTTGGGTATACTTTGTTATAATAATGTATAGCATATCTTATAGAACATTTTATTTTCGTTTGAAATTGCTTTCACTATTGAAACCTTTCACTCCCAAGATTTTCCGAAATCACAGTCCAGGAAATAAACATCAAAATTTAATTCACAAATAATACAGAGAAGTAAATAGTACCAGATTAAAGTGCGGCTGAGATAATTTTCTCATTATTAGATTCGACCACAAGTTCAAAAGTTAGAACTACATAAATACGTTTTCAAGTCATGCTCTTGGAGTGAAAGGTATAAAACCCAAAATCGTCTATTTGATCTTCCTCTGATCTTAGAGAGGGTAATTTTATCGGAGGCCATTTATGGCTCCAAACTGTACACATGACCAACAAGGTTTTCTTCAGAATTTCAAAATTTTCATATAAATGTCATTTCGTTAGAGGAGAGAATTCGAGAGAAAATGTATGTATACCGGTTAAGAGAATTAAAAAGTTATTAATTATTGAGGAACTGAAATACCCCATGAAGGATAACTTGCACTAAAACGTGAAGGGTGTTTGTAGAAGGATAATCGAAATCAACTTGATTATGTTGATAGTGATGACGACAGCGCCATATGGTGATAATCATGATAATGATAAATGATTACATACCTTAACATACTGTATAAACGGCGGACGTGATAACAATTAACTCGTCATTTTCCCAGTCGATATACGGGAGAACATTTTTAAAATCTGAAGCCGGGATAAGGTGTTATGATTGTAGTCAATCCTGTGTTGTACGGGTAAAGGTAAGGTAGGTAAAGACTCATACGGGCTAAAGGCCAACACTACCGGAGTTTATTTCTGGTTTTCGTAGTATGAAGCAAGGCTAGGAGTATTGCTACTCCCCCCTGGACGGCATACTAGTCCATCGCAGGGTTACCCACAGCAGTATGTCGCCGGTACCTATTTATACGCTTGGGTGAAGAGAGACAAAGTAGAGTAAAGTTCCTTGTCTAAGGGAACAACGCGACGAGCAGGCTTTTCAAACCCCGGACCCCCAGTTCCAGAGTTGGAAGTGTTAACCGCTCGGCCACACACGCCTCCACACTGTTGTACAGGACTTACTGTAAACTAGACCTTCATTAACTGGCCATTCTTGCTTATTCCTTTTGGTGCATAGCTTAATTTTATTGCCTTTCCCTTTATTTAACCATCTCTTTGTTCCCTTTATCCGTAAGGGTATGCATCAAACACCACGACATGCTTTTATGTTTGAACTCTGTAATTCTTTTCTTGCTTCATAAGGGGAATATAAAAGAGTGAAAAATTGGCGTCCCTGATTTTGGAGCAGCATTTGTTTCGATAGATGCATCGGTTATATATGTGGTAGTTATTTCTTATCTCAGGTATCTCACGTTTCCTTTAATTTTGGGTATGGTAATCTTTGCTAATAAAGTTGAAACAATGGAAAAATAAAATTACCTGAGATGAAAAATTAACTACAACATATATAAAACACCGGGTCAACTCATCTTGTGACAGTTCATTTCACCAGTCCAGTCAAACGTGTAACTTTGTTTGTTTCTTTTGTTTTAAATTGGTCATATTAGGGCTTCAGTAAGTTATTTATAAGTCATCTCTTGTACCCTAAAAGGCTAAGCGGCGCTGGTGTTATCCACATTTCTCTCCTAGCCATACATTTCGTATGCGATAGACCGAAAGAAACGTATCAAGGTTTATGAATAGTTGGGATACATGTGCCCGTGATATATATTTCTGCTATAGTGGTGATACTAATACATGTAGGAAGCAAATCCCGCTCTCCGACTCGCTTAAAAAGCTGCTTTCTGTCAGCTCATGGATAAAAAGCGGAGAAAAACCGAAGCCTAATTAATAAGTGCCGTGTTTCTCGACAATATTGCTGGTTTGCACATTCTTAGGGGCCATGGCCGTGGCCATGTTGTGGTCAAGAAGAAATCCGTTTCTCAACCTCGCTCACAGGTTCTCTCTCCTACTCTGGGAACTGAACTCCATTTTCATGTAAATTCTTCGAGAAAAGATTCTATTGTATTGATCAACAACATGGCCGACTTGTCACGTGGATGCAAACCAAGAATATGGTGGGGGAATAAACAAAAAAAAGATATATTTGATAATCCTTTAACTTCTGAATATTGCAGCCATGGTCACTCCAGATTACGGGGACAGGAACTGAAGAGGCTCGCAGCAACTTATCTAAACAAGTATCGTGAGAAACAAGTAAGTGTTAGCAAACACTGGTACGTTGTTGTTGAGCTAGAATGTTTTTTTTTAAGTTTTAGTTGGTATTTTGTGTGTGTTATCCCTTCTGTCAATATTTAGTACATTTCCTAGTTGTTATATTTAATATTTTTGTTCAATTTATCTAATAATATGTAGATAATTCTTATCCTATTTCTGTGTTTATATTCGGTAATTTTATTCATATTGTGGCTGAAAAGACCATATAACTGGGAAACCGGAATAAACGTAGATCACAACTCGACGGCGGTGCCATATCTAATGCCCTTACAGCAAACCAAACCCCTTTGGTGCAGTCATACTTATCAACCAAACCACATCACCAAAGCTTGTGTAAATTGTTCGTTGCTTGACAGAGGTCTACTTATTCAGCTCAACCTCTCCTTGTCGACAGTTCCATCAGAATACGGACACATCTTCCATACTGCTGGACTGTTCTTTTGGTCCCAAAGACACCAAACTTCATGCACTCCCTTCGTCCATATGACGGACATCTCTATAATGAGGACACTTTTTTTATATCCCTTTGTGTTCACATTGAGAAGTTTAGACTGTATGTAGAAATTCTTTTTAAGGCTCCATAGGTTGTTCGTGGTCTTAAATTTACTTTCAATGCCGGAATTACGCGTTCTTACAGTGATGTTTACTTTTCCGTAAAAGTTGGTTTTAACATTTGCGTCGGGTGGATGAAATCCTTATGCCTGACCATTCGTTTGGAAGCTCTTCGGAAAAATAATGGTTACGCTACTAATGTAAAGTGTTGCTCAACCTCTCTACTAGTTACCAACGCAAACCAAACTTCATTTGTTCAGTCATACTTATTACTCTTAACCAATCCGCGAAAGGCTGGGTAAATTGTTGTGTGCTCCAGAGAGGTTTGCTTATTCAACTGAGAGTAATACTGTTGAACTGCTCCTTATGGACAGCTTCAGCGCAATACGGACACCTCTCTATTAGGGACAGTTCTTTTGGACCTACAGATACAAAACTTTATGTATTCCCTACATCCATATGACGGACATCTCTCAAACAGTAACGAAGAGACTTTATATCCCTTTGTGCTCAAATTGAGAAGTTTCGAAATTCTTTATAAGGGACAGTTAATTTTGTCCAAAAGATACCAAACTTCATGCGCTCCCTGTTACATCCATATGGTGGACATCTCTGTAAGGAGGACACTTTGATCCTTTGTGCACATATCAAGGACTAGATTTACAAACTTTCTGTAGGGCTCTTTAAGGTGGTTCGTAGTTCGTGGTCTCGAATACAAATTTAAGACCACTGAATTGCGCGTGGCTGCAGTGCTGTTAGTTTTTCCGTATAAGTTGGCTTTAACGTTTGCGTCGGGTAGGATGAAATCCTTACGCCTGACCATTCGTTTGGAAGCCCTTCGCAAAAATAACGGCTACGCTATACAAGGGAAAACTGTTTCTTTCTTCCAGTTATCGTATACATGTATGTTTAATAAAGAAACCATAGCTTAGAATTAAATGATTTTTATATACACCTTCAAGAAACTATGCCGCATATGCTGTTACTGTTTACCAGCTGCTCTATTTTAATTAAAAACCCACTGCTATGAAATACATAATGGTTTTTTTAAATAACTTTGTGACATCGTAGCGGAAACTGTAACAGTACAAGTTTATCTACCAACTGTTACAGAAGACATCACGATTTTCTAGGCCTTCATGACGTTAAGGCCTAATGTCACAAGTTGCTCTATTGCGAAAATTCCTTATGACACTCTAAACGTTCTTCAACATGCTTTTTATCTTCTCGTTGCTGGTGGTGTTGATAAGTTTATTGCCATCCGGATCCTCACCATCAGGGTCTGCGCCCTGAAAAGTAAAATATGTCAAAATTCAGGTTTTATCTGCGTGAGTATTTTTGAAAGCTTTGAGCCGACGAATCGGGAAATAAACCTTAACGGTAACTGTTCCGAGCACATAGCTTAAATAAGATTTTTATATCTTGAAAGCACCCACCACGCGTCCTAGACCTCTGTAGTTCTTGAGCAACAAAATAAAACATGATTTCCCCCATTTAGGATTCCTCCTCATTACAGTTATTGCAAACTCACCATTTGAAGCAAATATTGAACAACCTCTTCGTTATTGTCCAGCACTGCGTAATATAGAGGTGAGCAGTCATCTTCGTCAGATAGCTGCAAAATAATTAATGAGAGAATATTGACCTTTAAATTCACTCAATAGCAAACGGAAACATCGCCTCATTTCAAGCTAATCTTGCATATATTGAGAAATCTTAATTCTGTGTTGACGTATTATTATTCCTACTGTCACGTGTCAGACGCTGTCTATTAGACGGACACCTTTCTAGGGCCAATATCCGTATTTTCGTATGACCTTGACAAATGGTTTCGGTAATTGTTCGTTATTTGTTTTATCAGCCAATGGATGAAAAGATCAAAACACGGACTCTTCGTTTTCCCACCAAAACCCTAATATGGACAGGTCATTGTTCGATTGGCCAATCGTGTTACAGTATGACGTCAAAGCGAAATATCGATTTATTTCTAAAAAGTTCTCGGGCATGAAGTTTTTTCACCCGAACCACGCGTGTTTGTATCCGTTGGATAAACCAATCAAATCGCTCTATTTCAGTTCGTTTGTTGTTTATATTTTGTTCGCACGTTTTCATTTCAAGGTCACACGAAAATCCCTGTAGCCTCCGCTGAGTTTCGTTTGTTTGCCTGTGTCTAAGTGAACACCGCTCTGAGGTAACATCAGTGGTTCACTCTTTCTTGAGGGTAGTTTTTTCGGGATCCGGGATTTCCCTTATTTAAAGCTCAGTATTCGGGATTGTCCTTACTTGAAAAGCGGGATTTGAGATTGAACGAATGCGCGGAAGGTGGAATGCCAAAAATGACCCTCGGCATTACGGGAGTGCGCGAAATTTTGGGTCGGGATTACGGGATTGAAGAACGCTATTGGGGACCCTGTCTCTTGTCTTAAGCCCCTCTTTGATAGACACCATTGGTTTTCTGGTGTGAGCAGAGTTTTATCTGGTCAGGGGTTTGTCTATAATTAAGCTTTCTGTAATAAAGCGAACATCAAAGTCACCCGGTGCCCTCTAAGACTTATTTGTGTAGTGTCTTTTTGTATCAAGACTCTTCATAGAGCGTTTACCACGCTAAGGCGAACGGATGATCTCAGCTGAGTTCCATTCCTTTATTTCTAACTTTAGGGTCCAACTCTCCTAGAGTGTTGGACTTAGCAAAGAGAGCTCACTGTTGTAACTACCACACGTCATTTAAAATACCGTAAAATTCCGAAAATAAGCCCCTCCATGTATAAGCCCCTCCAAATATAAGCCCCCCAAAATCGTAACACAAAAAACCCTCCGTTAAATCGCCCCTCCGAATATAAGCCCCCCGGGGGGGCTTGTATTTGGAATTTGCCCTCGAATACAAAGTAAAACAAAGCAAAAATGGTAAATTTCCTTGCCAGTACAGGCTAGCCCAATCGATTTTGAAACGCAAATTTCCCTCCGTACATAAGCCCCTCCGAATATAGGTCCCTCCAAATATAAGCCCCTCAAAAAGGGCCTTTGAAAAATATAAGCCCCGGGGCTTATATTCGGAATTTTACGGTATGCTTTGAAAGTACTGTGCCTCTTTTTAGTATCATGGCATAGTTGAAAGATTTGTTAGCATTGTGTCATTGAATGGTTCACAGAGAAATAGCTGACCCAATAGCTTTCTTCAAACGAACTTTACTACAGGAAGGTATCCAAGTGTCCCGCTTGGTTGATTAGTTGATAACGTGATTTTGTCTCATAATAAATGCATTATTTATTTTGATGCTGAAAAGTAAGGAGTTAGGTCCTGTTTATCACAGGAATCTCCAAGAAATACAATATGTTTGTAAAAGAGCCTAGGTGAAAAAAAATTTTTGACAGAAATGTAGTAAGGATTTCATCCGTCTGTGACGCGATATAAGTTTCATCCATCCAAGTTAATGCATCAGTAATTAGGTAACTTATTTCACTTTAGTGACATCTATAATTAATTAATGACTGATTGTCGATGATAGACATAGATTGTAAGTCGTTAAACGTTCCTCTGAAAGCTAACATGAACTGATAGGGACCAATTTGAATCTATGGCTCCTGCCGTAGTTAACAGTGTATTTGAATAAGAAATTGCGTTTATTAATATGCGTCGTGAAAGGTCGACAGGGGGTCATGATGTTGAATGAAATGCAAATTTTGTCTGTTTAGAGTCGTGTTGACAAAATAATTGCCCTATTTTCAAGATCAAAAGTTGCATTTTTTCCTTCAATTTGTGTTTTCTTTTATTTCAAAATACTGTTCAAAGTTCTCGGCGGGGTAACTTCTTATCAATTATCGCCGAATTGATCCCCCTATCAAAGGCGCGACACTAAGATCATTGCTGTTTAGACAGAACCATAAGTGGTCGCTGTTGCGTTTTACTGTTTCTAAAGCTTTGCAAATGAACTCTAGTAAACAACTTACGTTTACGTCGGCGCCTTTGGCTACAAGATATTTCATCACGTCCATCTTGCCCGCCTGTATAGCAATGTGAAGGGGGCTGCGTCCATGTTGAATGGGTGTGTTTACCTGGCTACCCTAAGCATAGAGGAAAAAAGTCTAAATCGTGTCACGGCAGTTTTTTTTTTAGATATTTAGCTGGTAACCAAGGATTTTAACATTCAACGCCCAAAGATTTGATTTATTGTATACACAGCGCAATCAAAAAAGCAATCGTCGTCTCAAGATTACTTCACATATTCTTGAATACACCTTGTGTTTTAACTGAAAATAATATTGTCTTTATCAATTATAGACAGGAAAAGAAGTATAAATGTTTAACTCAGTAACAATAAAATCCGCCATTCGAAATAACTTTGCGGCTGCTTAAATCGTAAAGATAGACAACAAAGTGATTTAAAATGCATGGTCATAAAACTTACTGGTCTGGCGAATTTTTCCTTCACCACCTCTAAATTGCCTGATCTAATCGCTGTTACCAAAATGCTCATTTCTTCTTGAAGAATCTCTTCTACTTTTAAGATAAACAACTCGTGAACTGTTGCACGCGTCAAGTAATTGAGTATTTCAAACAATGAGTAGGCAAATGCAAGACTGACCCCCAGTCACGTGGTGGTTAGAGCTTCGAAAAACAAGGAAGGGGATCTAGTGTGACTGTGTTACATGTGCGAAGCATTTATTTTATTGCAGCGATGTGGGCTATGCTTAATCGAGAAATAGTCTCAATTACTAAGCTGGTAATGCCCAGATTAGTCTGAAACATTTCCGGATTGGACCCGTTTACATTTTATACACCATTTTTTTCAGATGTGCCTCTGAAGACGTTTGGAAAGATTACAATAACATTTTCACTCCCATATTTCGCTTTCAAAATTCAACAAAACGTGCGCAACCGTCTCATTATTGTGTTTTTGAATAAGAAAAGTTGAAGCGAATACACCGCGCTCAATAGTAACGTGAAGTTATCGACGTTTTCTGTTTGGAAATCAAAGCTTAGTAGTAAATTTTAAGCCAGCAACAGGAATAAAACACATGAGGCTTTATGTGATTATCCAAACAGAGGGGCGGGCGTGGGCGTAGTACATTTAAGAAGACAAATTTCTGGATTCAAGTCTTATGATGCATGCTGAGAATTCGCTGAATTCGGCTGTCTTTACAAACTGGTTGGAATAGGATTTAACAGGTTTGTCGAAGTAAACTTGAAAGAGCTATTTGTGAGTTAGTTGTAGTGAGTTACTACACGTTCAACAAAGTTTTGCCTGGCATAGAATCAAAAACCTGTCTCACTGTCCAGTCTTTGGCTAATCCAGAATATGTTTACGATTTTATCCCTTTCCTGTTAGGTTTTGTTCTGTCCTCTGTTAGTTTTGTCAGTTACGAATTTTAAAGTTCAACTTGCTACTCTTGAACATAGTCATAAAGTATATTTGAGAAATACACGCGAAACGAGATTTTTAGTACTCTTTTACTATAGAGATTTAAAAAACTGGATAGCCTTCATCGCGCCTTGGATCACTCTTAGGGTCTCTCTCTCTCTCTCTCTCCCTCTCCCCACTCCCTCTCTCGTTATTTTTCTTTGCTTTTAATTTTTAGCCCGGTGGGAATGCCTCGACAGTAAACCTTCTTGACTCAAAAGGGGTTATGTACTTCATTCGATGCCCTAAGAATGTCTCATTTTGATCTCTGGATGCCACGTTTTTCAGGAACTCCAACATGTCAGTGTATATGTAGCGTTTCAATATACGGATGAGCGTGTCAATCGATTTTCATGATGGATTATTAATTGTCGGGTTCCTGCGGTACCTTGAATGAAAACAGGTTTTGCTAAATTAACTTCATGTCCCCTTTCTAGTATAGTTAATTTTGTTTCACAAATAAGCATGTTCTTGTAAAGTGCATTTGGAAAATATTGCGAAACTTTAAAAACATGGTGGTCTAATGGTAACATACTCACATGCTTGTAAAGAAAAGTTGCGAAATACTGAAAACCTTATTGTTCATAAGGGGCATTATGACGGATTAATTAAAACGTCGACACATAAGTGCATTGCCTTTGGTGGTATATTATCGATTATATTTACATTTCGCTACTTTCGACATTTTATAATTAATGTTTTTCACAAACAGGTATGTGTTAAGTACATTTATAAAACGTTGCGAAACTTTTAAAACATGGTGGGATAACGTGCACATGCTTGTTAGAAAAAGTTGCGAAATACTAAAAAACCTTGTGGTCTTAAGGGGCACGCGATGAAATTAATTTTAAAACGTCAAAACTTAAATGCATTACCTGTGATGGAAAATCGTACGGTATATACATAGTCTTTTGATATTTTATAAGCACGTGCAATAGTGTTGTTCGGTAACAACAACTCACGGGGTTGGTTTTAATTACTAGCCGAATATTTTTTATCATTATCAGACAACAACTTTATTGTATCCTCTACGTTGTGTTGCAAGTCTTTGCTTTACTATTTTTTCTTTACGCTGATTAGATCGGATATTCTGAAGTAACCTACACCGTGTGTACCATATAGATGAAAGAATAAATAACTAGATAATATCAATGATCGTAGATTAGACTATCAACAGAAGTTCCAAATTTCTTATTTATATATCAGACATTCTTTCACGGATAAAAATAAGCAACATATCGGAATCTGTAAGTATTGCTTCCTTTCTAGTTTTTACTGTCTATTTTAGGTGCGTTGTTCTTTTATTTGGTACAGCCTGTAGTTAAATAATACCATATGTTTAGAATACACACGCTTTTTAATCATTTTTCTATTAAGAGGAGCGGTCTGAAATAGGGTAAGGTCTCCGCAAGTTTGTCACAGAGCCCCACCCGTATTTTCAGGAGTGGCTCCCAAGACACAAGCCCATAAAACTTAACAAAGGTGCGGAGAGAATCTCTCATCAAAGGAGCACGCCTTCTTCCTCATTTCTCTCATATCCTCTCTCACGCTTATTTACCCCAACAGCGCACTCAGCAAGTTTTTTTTTTTCTTTCATGGTTGTAATCATACTTTTCTAATTGCGTAACAGTTAACTGAATTACATTCCAGTTGAAGTTTTGTAACATAGTTTTTTTATGAATCGCAAGTATTATATAGTGAAAAGAAGTTATTTCAACATGTATACATCTTAGTCTTTTTCATTAAATCTATTTAATTTGGTTTCCCTTTAATGATCAGTTCGCTCAATAACACTACCAAATGGATGCCTGAAGAAGAATATAAATACATATTCTACATACAGTTTCAAAGGACTATGTCCATGAATTAATTGTAACAGTCGGCTTCGTTTAAGCCCAAGTTAGGAGTTATTTTACAAGAATCCCCCTTGCATTTTCAAGAATTTAACATCTTTATCCACATGACCATTTACATTAATGAACTTACGCAACAGGACGGGAGAGGAAAGAAGACGGCAAACCTTGTGTGACAAGCGTGACAATAATTTTGTTTGAAACAACGTCACTTTCCTTTAAACAGATCTTTTTGTAAAGGACCAGAAAACATTGGTATTAAGTGGTGATCGCGAAAAAACACTCAAGTATAAAAATAGCCCTGTCACGTTTGTCACATACAAGCGTTTTGCCGTCCTCTCCTTCCCGCCGTCCTGTTGCGTAAACTCACTATTGACGGAATTATAGACCATTCGCCGATTCACTAAGAACCTTTCCGCAGTGGGCGCAAAACTTATCAAAAACGGCTATTTTGTGTCCACATCTGCTACAGAAACGGGTCATGGCAAGTCCACAAGCCCTCGACTCGGTATTGTATGGGGCATGAGCAATAGAGGAAAACTTAAACGCCATTTCCGGTTTGGGCTTCACTAGAAGTGGTGGCGGAAGTTGTGATGCTGGGTAAAGCCGCGTTGGGGAACATGCATGAGTGCTGGTTAACGGTCTTGTGATGACGTTGCGAGTCATAGGACCATGAAGGAATGGAGAGGCATGACTGACCGCTGAAAATCCGAAGCCTCCCAACGCCCTCACCTTACTTCCCCTAGACTCCTGAGTAGACAGCAGCATTTCTATGGACTCCACCACGCTACCATGGCAACTTTGCAGGATATGTTCTAGTGTGGTCATGTTTTGGTGCGGGAAGAGTTTACTGAGGAGCTCCATTGGAGGGTGCCTGAGTGATAGAGCGCTTAACTCCTTTGATAGCCAGGGATATTGATACTCATGTGGCCTATCATATAGGCTTTCTTGAAGATACTTTCCGTTTGAATTGACGCTCTCTTGATCTGGTGTTTTTCTCGCTTGTGGAGAGCTAACAGGGCTTGTCATGGCAGGTCTTTCTCCTCCATGTTCACGCGGCTCCCTCTTCACGTCAAGATCTGGAGATAGAGCAGTCCTTTTAGGGCTTGGGGTCCCGTCATCGACCTCTTCTGCGAACGAATTGCACCTTTTCAGGGATTCTGTGAATGGAAGATTAAGAAGAAACTCTCGTGAAACTGTACTTCAATAGTCTATCAATCACGGAGTTTTGGAAACGCTACTGGAACGCAGTTTGGAATTAACAATGAACCTCGACATTTGAACTGCTTAGCAGTGATTTCCTATGTATAGCATTCGAAAGCGTGCAATTGAGGAAGAGAAGAAAAAGTGTTCCCCATGGTTTCGCGTGCCGTAAGGGGCTCGGAGAAGAAACGACTGCAACACAGCCTATAGAACGTTAATTGAGACCATGTGGAAACCAGTTTGTGAGAGTGGGTGCGGGAGTTGGGCTCGTGAATGTTTGCACAAGAAACCACCAGGCCTCTCGTTGCTGCAAACTTGGTGTACTAGTTAATGGTACGAATTAAAGCGTGAAAGTGAGCTTTAAAAAAATACTCACCAGAGCTGGGTGTAATTTCGGTTATCCTCGGTTCTAAGTGACTCATATTTGCCTGGGCGGGATGATGATAAAAATGATGACGATGATTGCTTGGAAATGCTAGAAAAATAGAACGCCGTTAATTCAGGAGCATTGTGGAATTGTCGGCACAGTATAATATACTTATCTCAACTTTTAGACCATCACCTTTTCAGTGCTATTTGACAACAACAGTCACATAATTTTCTTTCCGAAAAAAGGTTGGTGAAAAAATCCCTGATAGGAAATGCAAAACATGCAGTGTTTTTTCTAAATCCCACACTTGCTTTGTGTTGTGCTTGTGTTATTCTTCATGGTTAATTTTCAGTGACCTTTCAGGCACGACAAAATACAGTTGACTACTTAAAAACCGGTCACCTATTTTCATTTGTTATTATTAACCAACTGTTATTTAACGGGGGAGCGTCCAAGTATTATCGACCAGCCAAAGAAGGTGAAATATCGCTTGCCCTTTATATTATCCAAGGATTTATGGTGGTGATCAGGGTCCTTCATATGTTGTGGATGCAGGAGACAAAGTTTGTGTACCTCTTTGTAAAAGGGACATTAATTTTGAACGCATCCTACGATCTATCCCGCAACCCCCAACCGTACAACGCACAAGAAAATTTGAACTTGAATTGCTTTACCTGCTAAACCATTGGCCTGAAACACCATGGAGTATGTCAATCGAGCATTTTCCAGTTCTCGCTGATATTTAGCTCTTAACTCAGCTCCTTTACGCTGTTGCCTGAGTAACGCAACCCGCGCAGCTGTCACACGCTGTCTCTCAGTGATCAGTTGGCATTTTGCGCATGTACAGTCTCGCCAGCGGCAGTAATGTTTGTGACCCTTGAGCCATGACACGGTGCCATGAGTACGGCAGCGGGCGCATTTCGGGACTCTGTGGTGCAAGGTGGGGGAATCACTTGATTCCTCTTCTTGATTCTCGTGATCGGATTCTTTTGGGTCACTCATTTCCTAGGTGAAAAGAAAAAATGTTAAAAAGTAATCGAAACGACGCTTTCTTAGAATTAAAGGGGAATGATTTATTCCACTATCTAATTTGTGATGGAAACATCAACTAGTTTTAAGAAAGTATTTTCTTCCCACCCTTTGGTGATTCTTGGTGAACCCATTGAAATACTTCTTGGCTGAACTAGGTAGATTAATAAAGTCTTTGAGTTTAAATGATAATAAAATAATAAGCAATAATTTAGCCGTCTTAATAAATACAATCTAATGCTAAAGGTACATTTAATTTGTGAAATTCAGATTTGGATATTCAAAATCCAATTCCGAACACCAAAACTAAATTCCAAAACGAATTTTGTTTAATAGCAATCCGTTTGCAACATTGTTTTTTAATTAACAGATCCTACAATAGCTTAGATCACAGGATTTATTCAGAGCAAGAACAAAGCAATGGGGAAATCCAGTTTTAATTTCCAATCCGCAAGCGAATCCTTAAAACATATTGCTTGAATAGTTCAGTTTCTAGAGTTAAAATGCGTCCAAAGTAAATAAGGCGGAAAATCCACCTTTGCGTATTATTAAAAGACTGAGGAGGCCTTATACCTTTAGGGTGTCCCTGCATGTGTTACAGACCCTACCTCACGTTTATCGTCCAATATAATTATTCAAAACTCTAATTACACTTGTAAAATGACTGTATAACATACAAAATTCGCCGGTATTTCAGACTTACCAATTATTTTAAAGTAAACATCTGTCGGCTAGAAAGAGTTTCCTTATCTCGCACACTAGGAAGACAATCATCATTGTGCCATTCGGTGCTAATGATTGAACGTGTGTCATCATTGCTATAGATATGGACTAGGAAACCCTATTCATCCATGCTCGACTTAGAAACCCGTACAAGAAGGAATACATGTCAATAATTTATTAGACAAAGATTAGGCTCGGCAAGAGGAAAAAATCTAGATCATTTAGGCAAAAAATGACAAACAGCATTAGCTAGGGTATAGATGACAAACCCTACTATCTAGCACTTTAAAAAACAACGTGTTGCCGGCTGTAAATGAGGAACTTTTCCTGAGTTACGTGAGGAATTTTTGTATTGGAATAAAAACCTCAGTAGTATGGTTACTTGGTGAAAACTATTTTGTTGTATACGTCTCTTGAATAATAATCAAATAGAAACGCTTTTGGATTGTTGTGATGAGTTGAAGAGGGACGCCGGGTTAATTTATGTGTTCCAGCAAAACCTTATATTTAGAGAATGATAGTTTTTAGAATCGTACAAGTAAGCAAATAAACAAGATGTTGCTTACAACTTTAGTAGATTTCATTTTTATTAGCTGAGGCGTGGTTGTAATCAGAAAGTCTGTCTAAAAGACTGAACAACGTATTAGCGAGAGTGATGTGCGTTCGGGCAGAAAATACCACATCAAGGTTTATAACATGGCATGTTGTAACTTGCTGATAATGATGCAGTTTTTAGAGTGCTTTTAAAATGCAACTTATTAGATCCAATTTGCGTATTGCCTCGCTACAAAGAGTGAAAACCAATAAGATAATGTGCATTAATGTTCATCAGGTACAAGAAGTTTTAGAATAATTTCATCAACCGTACCAGCTAGTATAGCAATTTAATTTCAGTTTGGTAGCCGTAAAATTGCCAGTTTTTTACAAATTAAGAGCCTGGGTGTACAAATTTACATTGCGTGTTTCTAAATTAACACTTGAGAAAATAACGCGGTAATTACGTAGATCTGAGGTAACTATTTCTGTTCAACTTACTTGTGTAGTCAAAGATTCTTATTTCCTCACGGCAAAGGACCTTTGTCACACTTCCTTGCACCACTAAAGATTTCATTGAGTTTGGCTCACAAGTCGCAAATTACATTAAAGATGAAGGTGCACATAAAGCGAAAGGCAAACAATATTTTCCCCGTTCACGATCAACACGGTTTTTAACCGGAAAAGATAGTTGTGGTAGTAAAAGTAAAATTTACGAACTCCATTTTAAAAATTGTGAAATGCGACGAACCGTCTTTTAACGCTTTTCACTTATTTTTGTGAATTTATCTGAAAATATGCGACTAAAAGTTAGGACAATTCCAAAAAATTCGAATCATACCTTTACAGTTTTCCCTCCTTTCTGATCATAAAACTTTAACGGTGAAAAGACGTCTTGTTAACGAGCCGAGAAAGAACTAAGCAGTTTGAGGTTCTTGCCCTCTCTTTGTTGATTTTAAATAGTTACCGATGCAACAACCAGATATTTAAGGGAGGAGCCACGTCCATTAGCGAGTACTGGTGGATGGGTATAGGGTTACAAAGTAGGTGCGACTTTACATTTTGTTTTATTCAACATCTGCCGTCTAAAAATGCAACTTCCAAGGAAAGGTACCTCTCTGTTATATTGTTTCAAGTATTCTAGCGCTTAAATGGCATCGATTGCGAAATAAATACTGTGAGGAAAATAGAATTGTAACTCGACCATATATGTATTTCATTTTAACATTAACCAAGCTAAATAGTTGTTATTTTGAGACATTTGTCAATAAATTCAGAGAAAAGGTTAAGGTCCGTTTTCTTTTTGCTCGGAGATGCTTTTGTGTGTGTTCCTGTTGACAAAATGACTGAGGTGCCAGTGGTTGTCTAGTAAAATCATTTTTTAACTTCAGACATCTGTTACGAAAACAAAAGAAATTGCTCCCTTTAATATCAGTAAAACTTTATTAGCATCTTTTCTGGCGGCTCTGGTAATTGTTAGCACCGTTTCATCGCATTTTTTTCGAAACAATTTCAAGTGGTGTGTTTAATGTGTTCAAATGCTCAATAAAGCAATTTCCCGTAACCTTTTTTCCAACTTAATAAGGAAGTCTTTATTCAATTCGCTGCTTTACCTATCTTTGAACTGAGTTAACTCATTGTTAATGCCAATAACATTTGTATGCAACCAAGACAGATAAGAATAAGACAGGTGTAAAACACCATCAAATTAGGACAATTATTTCATCTCTTAAGTGCCTCTAGCGACATTTCCGGCACCAGTCCGTTGTATTGACTCATGTTTACCTTTGTTATTGTTAAGTACCGCGAAAAGAAAAAAGCATGACGGTGAATTAGCATGACTATAGGAACAAGAAGACCATTCGCTTCCACAACAAGTCGCGTCGCGAAAAATTTGAAATGACCTAACATTCTTGTGGTTTGTAAAACGATATTCACGGTATAAGAATTGAAATAAAGGGGACCTGTAGCTGTGCAGTGATAATACACCAGCAGGAATTGTATCCCACCAATCCTATCATGAACCTCAGTTTTTCATAACAACTCAGTGTGACAACTGAACATCCGCTCTCTTTAAAATTATGTCGGACAGATAGCACGCGGCCCTTTCGCTTTTGGAGCAGCAACAGAAACATCAGTGAATCGTCATTAAGTTTTCTGGAGCGTACATGACTTAATGCTAAGTACTAGTTGTATGTTTCGACAATATTGAATTACTGACGTAAATTTGAAAATCTTACTGTCTTTTTTGAAGTTTTCGGTTAAACACGCGACTCCCACGTCGTACAAAATGTAAACAAAAATATTTGTGAAAATAGTCATTTCGTCGAGATAGCCAGTAGTATTTTAGGCCAAGTTGTTCTGTGGAACTTTCATTAACTTGTTTCTATTTATTGCGCTCACTGCCTCGTGATACTTTTTTGGTGAAGCTTTTTTACTGATTAAGTCAAGTATGTGTTATTGAATCGTTTGAGTTGCATTTTTGAAGGTATATAGAATAGACTAAGTATGTACTTGCAATCCTGCATTAATGAAAACAAAAATGAAAGGTTTCGAAGGGAAGCACAAAAACACTAATTAATTTCAAAAATAAAAAAAGGAAAGTAAGACGAGACACAAATAGAGGATCCGTGCAGGTTAAATGAGTATCTGTCCATGATGAGGACTACTAATATCCCTAATCGTCCTTTGGCTCAAATTATTATTAGGGCTATACTATTCTTGTCGATAATGCCAATACTGTTTGGTGTATATTGGGCTGCAGACAATAGAAGTCTAGAATAAAACTGTGTGTTATATCCCTTGACTTAATTACTGAATATTTTTACGTATAGAGCTTAAAGTATTCAGCTTTATTAGGTTTTGTTTTTTCGACTCTTTACTACAGGCCACCAGGTTACAATGGCGAAGAAAAAATTGCTGATTGATAATACGAATATTTTGAAACAAATTTGTAACTTAGCGCATTTGACTCGTGGATTATTAGTGTGTTTTTCGAATCCAGATTTAGATTTACAATTCAAATTTCGTGTTTTCCGGTCCAAACTCAATTCAAACGCAGCAACTGAATTTGCCACACGTAAATCCTGCTCCTTCACTAATTTTGTTAAACAATTCATACAAGAAATGCCTTTTGGATTTTTGTGCTCAATTTGGGCATCTAAAAATTCGGATTAGATCTAAAATCTAATTCGTATTTTCTAAAACAAAAATCCTTTCGAACAAACTTGTCCATTGTTATCATTACTTATATAACATCTGTGAAATTTTTTCTCCCAGACATCAATGATGTTATTGAAGCTGTAAAAATAAGAATTAAAACATTTTAAAGTCTTCGAATGAGCCAATGACGGATGCTCTAATCACTTATTATGACGTAATTATAACACATAGTCTAATAAAGGTGTGTACTTATCTGTACGCAAAGTGTGAGATATTTTTTATCGAAGACTTAGCTAACGTGTCGCTAACAATTAAGAATTAAAATAATTCATTAAATTATGTAACCATTTTGAATTTCCCTCTCGCATAGTCAATTTTGAAGATGAGTATTATTCCAAATATGAGTCTGTGGATGGAATGACTTGGATTGTTCTTTCAAGTGAAAACCTCTTTGTCAGCTTGACCAGATACTACTTTTTTTACAGTGGATTTGTTTTGAGTGAATGGGTTACAGTTTGAGGAGACTTGACTATATATGTATAGGCGACTATGGTGGTCCTGATCTATTTGCCCTCAGGACTTTGGCTATTCAGAGAGAAGTTTTCAAAGAAGATAGATTCTTATTTGTTACACAAGTGCTATGCTCTTTTAAGAGATGTATGAAGTTTATGACTCAAAAGCATACAGTGTTCACTGCAAAAATTTCGATTCCTTTTTCGAGAAATTTCTTTACAAAGTAAAAGCGGGGATACACACTTGTCTTTGTAACCCATGTTTGTCCTCTTTTGCGTGAATGAATGTTATCACTGAATTCTTTTCGTACAAAACAAAGTTTTCACAGAATTGTTTCTATTTATATCTATTCCAGTCTTGGAGATTCAAACACCAGTAGTGCGCGTGCTTCCGGTGTTTAAGATGATCTTGATACCCATCTATGGCCATCAAAACACCTCGTTTCCAATAAATTTGTCGACAGGTGGTATTATTGAGAAAACGGGCAATGATTTGGTACCCGGCTGATCCGTCCTTGACAGAGTGACAGTTGTGTTAAAGGTTTCAATTTCAAGACAAAACGTTTAGTTTCGAAGTTACGAATAACTTCGTAGAACACGGTGGACTCCCGATAACCTGAACCCTCTAGGGAAATCGAAAAAATGTTCGAGTTATCGGGAGCTGAAGAAAATAACCGGAAATAAGCAAATAAGCAAATGGATGGGGAGGGAATGCAATTAAGCAACAAAGTATACAGGGATGGACACTGAATTTGAACAGTGGAGACAAAAAATTGAAAAAAAAAAAAATTGTTCGAGTTAGCGAGGGTTCACGTTAACGAGAGTCGACTGTACTGTTTTCAAATGAATGGATATCAAGAAAAACCCACGTTTAGTCAAATTCAATTTCAATTCCGCTTCTAACGTTCAACTTAACCACCATTATGCTTAATATCTTAGTAAATGGGTTCATAAAATATGCTGTAACACTGGTTCAGGGCCTGAGGTAATATTTGTATGGAAAGCAGAAAAGAATTCCACCTTTCGTAAAAATTAATTTAGAAAGTTTGAGCTAAGATTAACTCCGCCATAAATGCTGGTGAGCGTATGAAGCTATTCGCTAGTTACGTAACCATATTTGCCTTGGTTGGCTATCCACATGCTTGATAAATTTACATTAACTATAAGTATCGTCTTAAAGTCGCACGCGGCAGTTAAGAGACCGTGCCCTCGCCTTCTCTCTTGGGTCGGGGATCAACGCCGTACTAAGTCATGAACTGAACTATATTCATAGAGCATGGAAAATTTGACGGTAAGCGCAGTGTAGCACGGCTAATAGAATAACGATCGGCTTAGGCAATCTTCAAGGCTGGAGTAGCCCGGTGAAAAACAGCTGAACTGTGACCTACCTTAATTACTTTAACTTTACAGTTGACGTTGATTGCAAGTGAACGTATTTACTGAATTTCAGTAGGCACAAGAACAGTCTAAGAAATTAGAAGTACCTTTTCCTTGTAAAATACTGTACGATGATATAATTATTACGTTTACGTTATAGTTTGGTTTCTCTGAATGTTCCCAAACAGCTCTTAATCATACCACCGAACTTCCTCAATAAAATCAATCTCTACCTTTGAACACAGATATTAGGGGCTTTTTCACATACAGTATCAGATATGTGACCGTTTAAATTTGTTCATTAGGTAATCATGGTGGGCTGGTATTCTGATAACATAGCTTTTCCCATAGAAGACCAACAATATTGGTGGTTCACATTAAAACGTTTGTGGCAATATTTTTGTTCTCAGTGTTCGTGTTTCTCTTTCGACTTTTGATTCAGGGCTTCCTGAGAATCAAAGACTTAAAATGATAACGAAACCGAGTAACCTTAATCAATGCACGTGATATGTTTATTATTTTGAAGAGACAGAACAATAAAACAGGTAACTAGAATGCAGATAACTACCCTCGCCTTGCGAAATAGTTAGCACTATTGTAAAGACGGCCTCAGTTTACCACTACATATCCTAAGCGACCACCTTCGAATTCATCTATAGTATATTCAAATCAGTTCTTATAATCGAGATTGTTATCTCTCTGGTTCATTTCTCAGACAATCACTATATTTAAAATCTATACGGACCACAACCGTGAAATTTAACAAACTCTCGAAACAAATCTGAATTGAGTGCGAAAATCAATGAGTTCAAACCTTAGGTAGCTTAAGCGTGTATTGAGCAACCTGCTGTCCTTGCATGGCAACACGACCAAGGGGTATCCAAGATGGGGCTTGGGTCAGATTACAAAAAA